CTGTGGAGGAGAGCCAAGCTGCCCCTGCTGCGTACTTTCTGAATTCCTGACCCACAGAATCAATAAGCACAAAAAAATGGTAGGGGTTTTAGGCCGCGATGTTCGGGGCAGTTAGTAATGCAGATGGTTTGCTTTGCTCCATAGGGCTTCCTCCCAGAGCGAGGTGAAGGAGGGTAGAGACGAAATATGAGGAGGAAACAGTGAAAATCTAGCAGCTGGGCTGGAAGAAAAAAGGGTGTGTATGGGTTTTAGGACCCAAGGCCCTCTCGGGGCTCCAGCCAGCCCAGCAAAATCTGGAATCCCATCCTCGCGTAGAACGTAGAACGCAGTCCCAGGAAGCGCACTATAGCCCCAGCCTCTGAAGCCGCTTTGGGCACCTCCCACCTGCCTTGCCCCTGTCCCACCTTGACCCAGCACGCCCTCTGGGTTAGTCTCACCCCCGACTTGTGAGCCGGTCCCCACCGCACCACAGGGCACTCGGACACAGACTCCCCAGCCAGCGGCAGCTCTGCACACTGCGGCCTGGCGGGGAAAGGGGGTGGCAAGGGGGCCCGAAGGGACGGCCTTCTCTCTCTGCCCTACGCAGGCGGGCTTGCGCACACCCCTGCCCTCCTCTCACCCGGATCGCCTCCCCGCCGCACGTCTGAACCTGCCGCCGTCACTGGCGCCTTCACAGTGACCCGGTGCTTCCTGCACAGGGGTCTGTTTGCATCCCCCTGAAATTCGGGGATTGAAACCCTTATCCCCCGTGGGATGGAATTTGGAGGTAGGGCCTTGGAAAAGCTGTTAGGTCACGAGGGTGGAGCCTCCATGGTGGGATGGGCACCCTAACGGAAGAGACACGAGCCCTCTCACCCTGTGAGGACTCACGGCACAAGGCAACTGCAATGCAGACATCAGATGAGCGGCAGCCTCATCTCAGACGTGCAGCCTCTGGGCTGTGAGACACAAATGTTGGTTCCTTCAACCCCCTGGTCTGTGGGTTTGTTAGAGCCGCCCAGGCCAACTGAGACCCCGCCACCTCCACCATCCTCCCCCTTCCCCGGACCCCGTCCCAAAACACATGTGGTTGCGATTTTCCTAGAAATGCCCACAGGAGACCTTGAGGGCAGCATCTGAGTAAGAGAGCTGGCGGGTACAAGGTTTGTCTCCCCACGGCTCTAGAAGGGTCTGCCCCAAATCCCACATGTGGTTTCTGTTGGGTCCTGCTCACAGCCGTGGGCTAGCAAGTCCTCAGCAATGCCACGAGGCCTCCCTGGCTTCCCCAGGCACCCACGGGCACCCATGGGCACCCACAGCATCCGATGCATCTCCCCCCCCCCGCCCCCCCCCCGCATCTCCCAGCACGAAGCCCCGGAGCTCACAGCTTCCAGAACTGCGACTGCCACGGGAGCGGGGCCCACACCTCCCCGTCATTCCTGACACACTTAGTATTCAGTCGCCGTTAATAAAAGCGATGCATTTCCTACTGGATCCTCATGACAACACTTGAGGAAGGGGCCGGCCTTATTTCCCTTTTGGAAGCAGCTCAGGGAACGGGGGTGACTGGCCCAAGGTCACGGGGACGGCGAGGACCAGAGCCGGACTCAGAGCCAGGTCTGGGGGACTCCCCGGCCAGTGCTCTCTGCCCTCCAACATGACCTACCGCCTCCCGACTCCCCCACGAAGCGCGGGGCCGAGCACAGGGCAGGCACTCGATAAATATTTGTGCGACTGAACACAACCTTAACAAATTCTTGTTGCGTGAATAAACTTCTGATACCCGAATAGGAACCAAACCACCTCAGTGATTTCCAATTCAAACACCACCGTCCGCTCCATGCATTCTGATGCACTTATGTCTTTTGTTTTTTTGGAGGGGTTTTGTTTCCTTGCAGCGTCGTCGGCGGCCAGGAGGTACACAGAGCGCCCTGGGGAATCGCTTCAGCATTTCAGATGGGCTCTGGGGAAGCATTCTAGAACAAGCAGGTTCTCGCAGCACCGCTGAGAGGGAGGTGGGCAAGGACCCAGGGTCCCGTGGACCAGAGGACAAGCCTCAGACCCCCAGGGCCAAGGGACGTGTGCGAGGTCACGCAGAGAGGGAGGGCCCACGCCAGCCGGGGGATGCGGAGGACAGGGCTGCGTCCAAGCTCTGAACTCCGTGTGCTCCTGGGAAGGACAGAGGGCGTGGCTCTAGGAAACCGGGTGGCAGCCTCCCTTGATCAAAGGGCCAGGCCCTGGATTCTGGCAGAGATTGAAAACACACGTAGGCCTTGCCATCCCTGCTCCCCTCCTGCTGCCTCCCCTTCCCCGGTCTGCACCGGCAGGCAGACCATCAGAGTGCAGGCCGGACCCTCCCGGAGCCGCACAGCTTCACAGAGGGAGGGTGGGACATCGGTGACCCAGACGCCCTCTGGGCAGATGATGCCTGTGGCTGGGCCTGGGGTTCTCTGAGACCCCCTCACCCCAGTCTCCATCGGGAACTCAGGCCCCTGTCTCTGGGACAGGAGGAGGTGCTGCAGAGAGGACCCAGCCCCAGGAAGCCTTCTGATCCTTTGACTTCCTGCACCACCTTGGATGAATCTCACCTTCCTGAACCTCGAGTCACCATTCATCAAGCCGGGTTCCTACGCCCTGCTCTTGCTCCCTCTAGGAGCACATGTCCACCTCCAGAGATAAAATGACCATACTGAATATTACACTTGCTTTATGATTAGCTCCCCAGCCCCTGGTCCTGACTCAAGCTGTCCAGGGCCTGTGCTCAGGACCTGCAGGTCAGTTGCCCCCAGCCTGGGCCAGCAGAAGGCCAGCCTGGTGACCAAGTGTGGTTGCCCCTGGCAACTGGAATCAGACTGCATCCGAGGGACAAGATCAAGTCTTAGCTAAGAAGGGAAGCAAGCCAGTTTCTCAGGAGCAGCATTAAGCATCAACACAGAAGGGAGATAAGGCAGGGGGTCAGGAACCACAGATAGGAGGCTGGTCAGGAAGCTGGCAGCAGGGCAGTGAAGCCAACAAATCAGAGGCAGGACTGTGAATGAGATCCAAGGAATGGCCACTCAGTACACGGCTGGGCAGGCCACAGCCCACGGAACATGGACCAGGCTGCCAAGGGTCTGGGTGGCCAGAGGCTACAGGGAGACAGGCCTGCGTGGCCATGAGAAGGCCAAGCACCACGCTCTTCAGCTTGTCCACCCGGGAATGTTGTGCCCAGAAGGTCTGTGTACATGCATTTAGTTGTAGCTCAACTTGTTCTTAGAAAATGATTCAAAACATACACAAATCCCTAAGGAATTTATAAGGATACTTGAAATATCACAGTAAAACATAAAGTGGAAATTGATAGGAAAGTAAGAAGCAAAACAGAGGAAAGGACATTAAAATAAGCCAGAAAACTGGCCAATTCAAATATTAAGATGACAAAGTCTTAAAAGTTATTTCGAAGGATTAAAATTTTAGCTCTGAGCTTCCTGGTAGCAAATGCAAAAGGGAAATCGAGTCAGTTACACAATGTCCATGAAATAAAAAAATAGATATATAAAGCCAAATGTCTAGAAAAATCAGAGCTGCCTCTGGATGTAAACCAGGAATCTTTCCTGGCAGTCTTTATTATAAAATTCTCAGCATTGACACAAAGACAAATCTCATGGAGAGGCGTTCTGGGGAATGAAATCATAAGAACAGACAATTCAATAAGAGCAATCCTACAGGGATCAAAATAATACTGTGCCCTGGAAATCATCCTCTCCTGGCCTGGCTTAAGGCGCAGGAAGATGAGGCTGGGGTATTTTAACCAAGTAGCATTGTTTGGGTTTTTTAAAAAGATTTTATTTACTCATGAGAGACACACAGAGAGAGGCAGAGACACAGGCAGAGGGAGAAGCAGGCTCCCTGCGGGGACCCTGATGCGGGACTTGATCCCAGGACCCCAGGATCATACCCTGAACCAAAGGCAGACACTCAAACACTGAGCCTGCCGGTGCCCCTAAGCAAGTAGCATTGTGGCTATTTATTTATTTATCTAAAATTTATTTCTTCAACCTCCATTTAGCAAGCACCTAATTAGTGCCAGGGTTGTATGAGGCATTGGAGAAGAGTGGTGGGTGGGACATACCTGAACCCCGGCCTCCTGGGGTGTAAGGTCTTGGAGGGGAAGCTGTCTTGAAACAGGTAGTAAGAGGCCACAACATAAAAAGGATCTGACAGGGAGCCCAGGCACGATGTGAAGACCAAGGGAACGCCTGATGCCACAAACCAGGGAAGATTGCCTGGAGGAAGTGAGGCCTGACATGGGCAGGTTGGCCAGGAAAAGACCTGGCAGGAGAAGCAGCAGGGGCTGGGCCAACAGAAGTCAGCATGCCTAAAAGCCTTCACGACCTGAGCCACCCCTGGAAATGGCCTGGGAAGGGGCCTCAGAGTCCAGGCCCAGTTGGGGTGGGTTCATCACTCAGCCACACTGTCAGGGCCGACTTTGGGCAAAACCGCGCGTGTATGCCAACCTGGCAGCCAATGCCCCAGCGCCGTCTCCTAGGTAGTGCTCCGATCCCCCTTCTCACAGCTTGGCCCTGCTGCCCCCTTCCTTGAGGGGCTCACGGTCAGGGCGGACTCAGCTGCGTGCAGAGCAGGAGGCAGGGCTGTAGCCCAGCCACCTCCGGCGATGACACCCAACTGGGCCATTTTAGAGCTAAAAGGGCCCTCTGACAGCCCCCAGCCCAATGACCTCATCCTACAAGGGGGGAAACTGGGGTCCAGTGAGGGGAAGGGACTTATCCAAAGTCATACAGGCTGCGACTCCAGAAGTCCAGAGGCAGGAAAGAGCAGAGGTAGGGAGGAGACTATGTAAGCTGGCCGGGAGCACTAGGGAGGGAGCGCAGAGGAAAATTCTAGAAGAGGCTCAACCAGAGTAGGAGAAAGAGCTCATGTCTCAGGCCATGCGACTTGGAGCTGTGGCTCTCTCATGGGCTCAGTAATGTGGACCCGCCCTGTGGGGCTATGGGACGGGGGCTGGAGCACCTGTAAACTCTAGAATCCTGTGTGTGTGAGCATGGCACAGGGGGCCAGGAAGAGGGTGGGTCCCCAGATCACGGTAATGGACCTCGGAGTGCGAGGCACGGCTCTGACAGTAACCCTCCGGCACAGGTATTTATCAACCCTGTCTTCCAGACTGAAAACACCGAGTTAGGTAACTTGCCCAAGACCTCAGAGCTAGGAAGAGGTGGGGCGGGGATCATGTACAAGAGGCCCTGAGGCAGACACGGTGTTGAGGAGCTCATCTCTGGGAAGGGAGTGGGCAGAGGAAGCTGAGGAGATAGCACTCCCGAGAGAGGCAGGGCTCCCCGGTCTCGTACCTTCCCTTGGAGCCATGCTTTGCACTGAGAGTGGAGCCAGCTGCCCGGGGGTCAAGGGGTAAAAGACGCTCAGTGGGGGACCCCTGAGATGACTGCATGGCGTGTCCGGGCTGGCGCGGCTGGGCCCCTGTCTACTGCAGATCACCTGACGACTTAGCCGCACAAACTCTGTCCCCAGTTTCTGTGGCCCGGGGGTTCGGACAGAGCATAACAGGGATGACTTGTTCCTGCTCCACAGCATCTGGGGCCTCTGCTGGGAAACCTCCAATGGCTGGCCGGTCAGATGGCTGGGCTCAGGGGGGACTGGTGCCCAGACATGACATCTCCGTGTGGCTTGGGCTTCCTCACAACATGGCAGCCTCAGCTAGTGGTTCTTCTCAGCTCTCACATGTGGCTCGGGGCTCCAAGAGAGAGTGTTCCAGGCACCAAAATGGAAGTCACATGGTCTTTACTGACTTAGCATCACTTCTGACCTTCTCCGTGGGGTGAAGTGGTCACAAACCTGCCCAGATTAAAGAAGTGGGGACATAGACCCCATTTCTCAATAAGGAAGAGTGTGAAAGAATTTGTGGCCGTGTCTTTGAAACCACCACATTCATCATGGTGGCCCAGCAGCCTGGTAGGAGAACCCAGCAAGGATGCATCCCACCATGACAGATCCGCAGAGGCTGAAGGAAGTCAGGGTCAGTCCAGCAGACCCAGGACTCAGCCAGGGCCACACAAGCCTCCTCTACCTGCCCCACCGGCCCCTTGCCCCCTGCCTGTGACTCAGCCTTTCCCTGGAATGATCACATGGTTAGACCAGGCGCTCACAAAGGCAGGACTTCGAGCTCACCTCTGCTTTGGCAGGATGACCTTGAGTGAGTCATGCGACATTTCAGGGCCTCTGGGCTCCTCTCCTGCACAACAGCGGATGCTTCCTCCTTTCCAGGGTTCTGAGGAGGAATGGAAGAAAGAACATATGGGAAACGCAGACATCCAGTAGGCTCCTAGCGAATGCTGGTTTCCTTCCAGGGAGAATGGGGTAGGGCGGGGGTGCCACATGCACGGAGAGGATCTAAGGGCCTGACTCACTGGGTTCTCTCCTGGGGACTTAACCAAAGCAGCATGTCTGCACTTGAAGCTGCAGCAGGCACCTCTTGGGCCTGTGGCTCCTGGCTCTAATTACAGCTTTCTGGACATGTTTCCTGTTTGGGAGCTGGCAAGGTACCCTCAGAGGAGCCACAGATAATGAGCAGCTGGCTGCAGAGCCTCCATCCGCGAGGGCACTGACCCCGGAGCAGGCCTGAGCAGGCCCACCTAGGAAGGAAGAAGGCCCTCAAAGTCACCTGGTCTCAGTACTGCCTTGCACACACACACACACACACACACACACACACACAGGACCACCACCATGGCCACAGGATTTCCCAGTCTCCACTCATACAGCGCCGGTGACAGAAGCCTCACTACCCTGCAGACAGCATGCTAACCTCCTAACAATACAGGTGCTTAGAAGCAGGTCCTTCAACTGCCAGCTACCCATCCTCAGGTCTACCAAGGAGAAAAGTGCCATAGAATGGAAGAAAGGACACAGCCTCTGGGGGCCGGAGGAACTGGGTTAAAATTCTGACCCTACCATTTTCAGGTTCTGTGAGCTTGCTCAAGTCCCTCTACCTCTTTGAGCTTCAATTTCTCATCTGTGAAATGAGAATACTCCTACCCAATGGAGGGAGGCTGGGCATGGCAGGTGGAGTGAACTGCCACAGCACAGATGAAAACACACGGCACACCATAGAGGTCAAATAAATGTTGCTGTCTCCCTCTTCCCTCTTGGACACTTTGCATTAGGCCAGAGACACTCTCAGACTGAAGCAAGTGACTGTCCTGCAGAACCAGTCGTATGCCGGCCGAGAGAACCAAGGGGCCAGAAGGCCATCTCTTCGGCTACAAGACCTCATGGTCAGCTAGACAGGGCTGGGGGTGGGCAGCAAGCTTTCTCATTTCTGCTAGTGCAACTGGACATTGACTGAGAGAAGAATGGGACGATGGAAGTTTGGATGGATGGATGGATGGATGGATGGATGGATGGATGGACAACTGAACAGACAGTTTAAACAAGTATCTAAGCAAAAACACTAATTTGAAGAGATGTTTGCCCCAGGAACCTCAATGCACCCCCATGTTCATTGCAGCATCATTCACAGTAGCTGAGATACGGAGATGACCTCAGTGTCCGTCAGTGGATGGATGGATAAAGGTGGTGTGGTACATAAATAATGTACATAATATATAAGGGAATAGGCATATAATATATAATATATGATGGAATATTACTCAGCTATAAGAAAGAATGAGATCTTGCCCATTTGCAACAACATGCATGGACCTGGAGGGTGTTATGCTAAAGGAAATAAATCAGACAAGGCAAATGACACACGATCTCACTTCTATATGGCACCTAAAAAACAAAACCAACAATCAAACCAAAACCAAGCTCAGAGATACAGAGAACAGACCAATGATTGCCCATGTGGTGGGGAAGAGAGCAAAAAAGGGGGAAGGGGATCAAAAGGCACAAACTCCCGGCTGTAAAGGAAGTCAGCCCTAGGGATGTAACGGACAGCATGGTGACTACAGTTAATAACGCTGTCTTGGTGTGTGAAAGTTGCTTAAGAGAGTAGATCTTAAAAGTTGTCATCACACACAAAAAAAGAAAAAAAAAGACAAAAAAAAATCTGTGATTGTGGATGGTGGCAGATGGTACCTAAGCTTACCGTGGCGGTCATTTCGTAATATATACAAATATTGAATCATTATGTCGTAGACCTGAAAGTAATAGAATGCTGTGTGTCAATTATACCTCAATAAAAGGACCCATAAATAAACTGGTTACTAAGTCTAGCCGGGAGACGCCCGCCGCCTTCTAACGCTAGCTCTACTGGATGTCGCATTTTTGTTGAGAAACTGTGTAAGCAGTGATTTCTAAAATTTATAAGCCTCGGGGGACGTCTTGTAAAATGCAGAGTCCTAGGAGCCACCAACAGAGATTGCCACTGCAGGTGCGTGGCGGAGCCCGGAGTCTGCGTTGCTAACCGGCTCCGGATTGCTGTTGCTGCTGCTGCTCCACAGGCCACACTTTGAGAAGCTCTGGAGTAAAGCAGAACAGCTGACCAACAACACCCATCAGAAAACAGGCCCGTGGGCCAGATGGGGTCACCTGGCCTGGGGCGCTTCAGCAGGCAGGGGAAGGAAAGGGCCCCTCCCGGCCCTGGGATGCCCAGGGAGACAGGACCACCCCCCATCTTCCACCTCTTCCAGTCTCCCCCCCAAACCCCCCCCCACACACACACACCCTGCTCGGAGCGGTCAGTCTGGGCTCTCTTACAAGCTGCAATGGCTTCCTTAGGTCCAGAAGATCACACCACCCTGTAGAGCGTCAGCCTGCACAGAAATCCCAATAAATAGGTGAGGTGTGCAGGGGCCACACAGGCTAGCCACCCACGACAGGCCTTCCAGCAGGAGGGAGGAGCCCCATCAAGAAGGGACTCCGGCCTCCCGGCTTCCCAGACATACACACATGCACACGCATGCACATATACACCTCAGACACCCCCCTCCCTGGGGGTCCCGTGGCTGCTGGCCGCAGAGCCAGGGTTCAGGACTCAGCCCCAGCACTAACTTGCTGCATGGCCTTAACTAAGTCACTTTCCCTCTCTGGGTCTGAGTTTCTCTGCCTGAGGTGGTTGGACTTGGCCTGGTCTCGGGAGAGAACTGGTCGTACCTGAGCCACCAATGTGTTCACTTATTAATTCTTTGGTTCAACAGATATCTGTTGAGCAATTCCTGTAAACCGGATCTGAGCCACGGCACCAAACAAAAGAGCAATGAAGCTTGTGCCTCGTGGAGCTGGTCCGATCTTTGTACCAGATGTTTTATCCCTCATTGTGCCTTCACCCCAGACGGCACAACGAGCTGGCCCTGCTGATCCCCGCCTTACGGACGGGGAAACTAAGTCACCGAGGAGGTGGCCGAGCTGCGGTGCAGACAGTCAGGGGTCCGTAAGCCATCACACAGCCCCGAGACCTCTGCCCCTGTGGCCTCTAGCTCTCTGCTGGGGTGGGGGCCGTCCCCACCCAGGACCCCTCACCAGCATCCTCTGAGGTCTGCTACCCCAGAGGGAAGTAGAAAAAAAACCAATGCCATGGGAGAAGCTGTTCCCATACAGCCCCAGAGTTTTGGGCACTTCAGGCTGGGCCAAAGCTTCTACAACTGTCCCCGGGATGGCGATTCCAGGCCAGACTACCCCCTCCGGGGGTAGGTACCCTGAATCCCATGGTGCTCTAGGAGCACTGGCAGGTCCTTCTCGGGGCCCCATCCCCACCCACCCCTCTCGCCACTCACCCCAAAGGTCCATGCATGACCCAAGAGGCAGAGCGAGCTCACACTGCAAGCACGGACACAACACGGCACCAGAAAAATGACACGAGCTCTGCTTCTGTGCCCTTCCCCACAGTTTTGCAATCCAGACACTAGAAGGAGGCTATTTCAACTTTTAACACACAGGAAGCTTAGCGTCGCTATGGAAAATAAACTGTATTTGGAGTTACTATGCAGGGTGGGAGACAGCACCGTGATCTTTAGAGTGCTTGGGGCCCTAAAGGTCTCAGCTGGCTTTGGCCCCGTGCCTCGCCCTCCCTCTTTGAAGATGTGCCCGGTCTTTTCCCACGGCCTGGAAGACTCTCCCTCTCCCCTCCGCCTCTCTAAATATGCCCATCTGTCATGGCTCCGTTCACCTCCTGTGTCCTCAGGAAGCTACTAGAAGCCCCACTGGTTCTCCCAGGTCCCACGGATCCAGCTCCATCTGCAAGAATCACCGCACTCTTAGATCCCGTGTCCTGCCCTCGGCCGGCTGCCGGGATCCTCCGGCATCTGTCAGGTCGAGGAGGAGCCAGCCGAGAGGAGTCCCCACAAGGGCCACATCAGGGACAGTCTAGGACACCGGTTCTTCCAGAAGCCCTGCAAAGTGAGAAGGCATTGTTTGCCTTGTGTACTCTCTTTCTTTCGTAAACAAATGCACAGAGAGGTTTTCCAGAGGCATCGACAAATTAAATCCAAAAGCAGACATGAGAACCCAGCTGTCTTCTCTGAGGTGAGTCATTAAAGCGATCTGCAAAAACGTAAAGGGATGTTCCTTTCGTTTTAGAAAATAGCTATTTTTCATGAAAATGTATGATGCTAATATGCAGTGGTTTGGTCTTGCTCTCTGGGAATAAGTATTTTACGATTTCTCAGCTTTAATTTCTAATACAGTAAATATCCGTAGCTACAACCACATAAACAGAAGCTCTTTCAAGTCTCCGATAATTTTAATAGTGCAACAGGGCCTCGAGGCCGAGTTTGAGGATTCCAGGTTGAAGAGAGAGTGCCCCTGGTCCGCAGCTGAAAAGACGAGGGGCGGTTGGGGGGGGGTCTGACCATCAGGCCGCAGGAACAAAGGCAGATGGGGGCCGGGGGCCGGGCAGGGGGCCTGGCAGGGGCTGAGAGAGGCCCCAGGCTGAGACCTTGAGTCGGGAAGCAGGAAGCAAAAGGGGGCAGAGGAGAGCCAGAAAGGAGATCCGGAGAGAATCCCAGAGGACGTAATGGTATAGCAGCTGCATCCATGAGGACCAGGGCTGGGGTCCAGGGCGGATATGGGGAGAAGAAGAACGGAACCCCGGAGTTGCCCTGGAAGGGAAAGAGAGAAGCAGAGAGATAAGGAAGGAGGCCCACCGGGGGCGATGCCGAACTGCAGCTATTGTGGATGCTGGCGACGGGCACCGGGAGGGCTCTCACCGCCATCCCCCCCACACATGCCACAGGCCTGCCCGGCCCGCAGCCCAGGGGAGGGGCCTCCCCCAGGTCCCCTCCTTTCCACTCAGCCCCCCCTTACTCCAGGTCAGCTGAGTACCTCTGGTCTTTGCCATCCTCCAAGCCCGACCGACACGGCCGTGAGCCCTGTTCCGGCTCCAGGACCCTGGGCAGGCACAGAGCGTCCATCCCTGGGTTGTCAACAGGGGATGATGAGTCCAGCTCAGGGAGCAGGGGAGGGCTCGTGGGGAATGACGTCAGAACATGTGCAGAGGGCCTGGCACGTGCCGATCGCTCAACAGGTGCAGCTAATATTAGTCTGGGCGCTCCGGCCTCGACGGCGACTGTTATTATTAGTGGTGGTATTAATATCCCAGCAGGAAATGGTCTTCAAGGTCACAGAGCTCCTGATGTGACTGAGAGACAAACAAGAAGTCCGGGAGCTGCCAGAGGCAGAGCCGGAGTCAGAACCCACTTCGGGGTCCTGGTGAGACCGTAAGCTCCCGGGGGGCCGGAGACGTGCACCGTCCACGCTTACAGCACCACCCCTTCCCTCTCTCCGCGCTTACTTTTTTGGACACGTCTCACGGGCCAGGCACTCTGCCAGCTGCTGTCTGCCCGCAACACGGCTTGGCCCCAAATTGGTTCAATCGATGTTTGTGGATCGATCCTTGTCCTCTCCCATCTGGCTGGCCACGGAGAATCTAGGCCAGGCGTGGGCTTTGGAAGGGGCCCCATGAGCCACCCCTCTGGTCGCCAGTAACAAAAACACAGCTGCTAACTTTGAGTAGCTGGTACCTGCCACCTGCCCCGGGTCCCTGCATCCTCATCCCTGAGCCAGGGGGGAAACAAGACCCAGAGAGGCTTAGCGCCTGTCTCAGGACATACAGCCACACCTGAGAGAGCCGGCGACGGGAAGTCAGGCCTCTCCGTGCCGAGCATGGGTGGGGACGGCCACGGAGGGCGCAGGCAGGTGGACGCGGGCCTGGACATGCCTGAGGGTGGGGAGCAGAGAGCAGGGTCTCGAGGGTCTTTGGGGGCAGAGGGGAAGGCCTGGGAGGGGAATCTGTGCCGGTGCGGCATTCCAGAAACGGAGCCCCTAAAACAGTCACTTCTCCCACCCTCTAGTCCGGGGAGCAACTCCCTCCGCCCGATCTCCTGCTCAAGTGGTAGGGCGTCCGTGCACCCCAGCGGCATGGCTGGCCGGTGCACCCAGGCTGGCCCCGGGCGGGACTCGGGGGTGCCGCGGAGCCGACAAGGACGGGGCAGCCTCGCACCCGCAGGGGAGCAATGACTCGCTTCACCCAGGTCTCCTGATTGGCTTTGGGTGTCGCAGGGGGAGCAGAAAGGAGAGCCTGGAGCGGGAAATGAGCCTCCAGGTGCAGCATCGGCGAGACCCGGGGCAGGGGGTTCCGTGCCCTGTCCCGAAGCAGCGGCTCTGCTGGAAGCTGGGGCAGGGACCCCAGCCACCCTGCCATGGGGCTGCGGCCACAAGGCTGGTCCTTGGCCCCCACTCGAGTCTGCCGGTGATCTGGGCTGGCTTGGCAGGGAGTGGGGCGTGGGGGCAGGCATCCTCTCCAGGCTACAGGGAAGAGCCACGCCGCTGGGGCCTGGGCTGCTGTGCTCACGGGAGGGACACGGGGCCATCGGCAGCCGGGACCGCTCCTCTTGCACCGATCCCTGAACAGGCCGTGAGGGGAAGAAAGGGCAGCTGTGCTCAAAATGCCCCTGGGGGTGGTGGGGGCGGCTAGGTGCAAGGAGCTGCCCTGGTCAGCACCCAGGAGGCTTAAGGCCTGGTGCAGCGCTGCCTCCAGCTCCCTGGGTGTCCTTTTTTTTTTTTTTTAAAGATTTTATTCATTTATTCATGAGAGACACAGAGAGAGAGATAGGCAGAGACACAGGCAGAGGGAAAAACAGGCTCCTTGTGAGGAGCCCGATGTGGGACTCGATCCAGGTCCCCAGGATTACGCCCTGGGCCGAAGGCAGGCACCAAACCACTGAACCACCTGGGGATCCCCTCCTTGGGTGTCCTCGGCCAAGTCAGTGACCCACTGCCTCTGAAGCCCCCGAGGCGGCTCTGTCATCAGGTGACCTGTGCACCCCCCACCTTGGCACCTGCGCACACACATGCACACACTCAGGCAGCACTTGTGCCCAGCATGGGCTCCATAAAGCGCCCCCGGCCTGCAGTGGAGGGGACGGTGAGGCAGGCCAGGCAACAGGCCCACAGCAGGGCCCCAAACAAAGGCAGTGGATGGGGGGGGGGAGCGTTGGCAGCGGGAGGAATGGGGGAGGGTGGCTCGGGCTGGGGAGGGATGTGGCTCCGAGCCTAACAGGCCACCAGCAGCCGCAGCATCTGCTTTTTCTCACCTCTAAAGGGAATCGATTTGTCTCTGACTGATTTCCCTGACGTCTAGTTTTCTTCTCCGCCCGGCTGTCAGCCCAGCCACCGTGTGGGGGGAAGCGGGGGGAAGAGCCCTGGCCGCCTGCCTGCCTGCCCGCCTCCCCCCACCTGCCCCCCACCTGCCC